AAATTATTCATTTATAGTTCTATCCAGGGCTGTGGAATTGGAGTCGGAGTCGTGGAGTTTTGGTGTTTTAGTCCGAGTCGGAGTCGTCAAAAAATCCGCCGACTCCGACTCCCTTTTTACTTACCAACTTGTTATTTATATGAAACGGAGTCGGAGTCGGATGGTAAGGAAAAGTCGGAGTCGGAGTTGGAATCGGTAGATTTTTACGCGACTCCACAGCCCTGGTTCTATCCCTATTCCACTTCATCTATACTAATATTATAAAGAGGTAATGTTTGTATGTAGGGGTAATCTCCAAAACTACTCATCCGATTTCAAAAATTTTTTCACCAATATTTAGAATGGAACTTCAGGGTGGACATAGACTGTATATTATTCCGTTAAACATTCATATAAATTAAAAGATATCATCTAGGGTAATATATGTCCAACAGATGGCGCTACGAGTAACCTAAGTTTGCTTTTCTGTGAAGATGAACTAAAGCAGATTATCTTCTATCTATCTATAAATAAAAATGTAATCTTTGTTTGTTCCTACCGATTCCTTTGAAATTTTGACACAACGTTGCATTCGAATACGCACGTGTTTTTATATAATATACATGTCGAAGTTCCCCCACTGGGGGGAGATGGACCGGATTAAGGCTTACCGTAAAGAACTCTGCTTCTATTTATACTATTTTAGATGCAGTTTTTTGCGTCTTTGATTGCGTTTTAATAGGGTATGTCAACAGAATATACACTAAAAAGGGATTTTTCGAAAAATCCCCCCACGGGGGAAGTGTTATACATTTATAATAGATACATTTTGAGCCACAACAACGCGTGGCAGGGTCTGCTAGTTTACTGTATATTTTTATCAGTAGCGTGTGGTGACAATTTTCAAATGGGACCAGATGTGAGAAAACCTATTTTTCATAAATTAGAACAATTGTTATTTAAACACCCGGGGGGAATTCGTTTTATTCGCATATTATTGGCACGTTAATTTTATTCTCCCAGCTCTGTTATATATAACAGAAGGAAAGTATGATCCCCAAGATTTTTACATGTAGAGTAACTAGTTTTTCGAAAATCGAGGGTTTTTCAACTGCAATTATAGCAACGGACAATAAATCACAAAACTTTTTGTTATAATTATAAGTTTAAAAATTTTCTTTTTGCTATTTTAATTCGTTTTTATTTTTCTCATTAACAAGTAAGATTCAGTTATACTATAAATTCTGTTAGCGCTAAATCGATATGTTTACTTTTGATACAGGAAATCGATGATATGTAGAAGTATAGAGAACACGTGCCTTGTATTTCCACCATCAGAAATAGAAAAAAATTCGAAATATTTATGATGTTTGAAAGTTTTAAATTAAGACTAAAGCAGCTTATAAGCAATGGGAATTTAAAAAATTTCTGGATAATAAAATTATGTAATTATTTACATGATTTTATTATCCAGATTATGTAATTATTTACATGATTTTATTATCAATGGAGCATTTTTTCTTTTTTGTGATAATTTTGCACCATCAATTTCTGTGAAAGTTATTTAGTTATAAATTTTCGGCACGTTGGTGCATTCGAGGGAGGAAATACTTCTCAATAAGAAATAAAAACCATTTAGTTGATAAACGATAGTGATGCAGAACTATATACACAGAAACACTAAAATATTGATACAATATAGTATATTGAAAGACTAAAGATTGAGAAAGTTAGCAAGAAATAACATTTACTTTTCAAAAATAAAATAAAACCACCATTGTTAATGCTCTATTTTCATTGTTGTTATTAATCATGGAAACAAGAATATTAAAGAATACGGACTGTACGTACCGTACAGTCAGTATTCTGTAGTATTCTTGTTCACAGAATTTGATGTTATTGTTTTCAAGGTGAATTTCAGAAATATAGTGAAAGCAATAAATCAAGAATCGTGCCAAAGTAGAATCTAATCAATTACTGTATGTGATTTTCAGTTTTCAAACTGACTAATGAATAAATTGTGTAGAAAAAGAAGATACACTTGAAGAATGACTTGAATCATTACTCTTCTGAAGCCGCTAATATATGAAAAAAAAAATAACGTTAAAAACTCTTATATTTTTATAAGTAATAAAATTTGACAAAAATAATTGTTTTTTCCTGTTTGGATAAGGGTGATCTGCCAAGGAGGTTCTTCCGATAGGATTTTCTACGGAAAACTGGCTCGTACTTAAGTGAAGCAAAAAACCAGCCAGTTAGCAGGCAGGAACTCGGGACCAACTACCAGTGTTCAGCGGCTTTATCTTCCTCAGTTATTGGTGGGCGATGATTTTTTTTTAATACAGTTGCCTCTCATTATATCGCTCATTCAGAGATATTGCACTATTTTTGTCTTCCAAATATTAGCTTCCGTTTTAGCCAATAATTTTTATAAAGTCAGTCGTTATTGAATTTTTATTGGCAAAGAAGTATTCTTATTCCAATCATTAGCATTGAAACTACCATCGTATAAAATACGACCTCTGAAAAGTCCCAAATCGGCATGGAGATCGAAAATAGACAAAATGGATGGATGGATAGATAGATCCGCCCACATGTTTTGGTTATATTGTGCCATCTATCAGATATTGCATATTTGGTTTATATCGCGATATGCGCGATATAACGAGGAACTTCTGTACGTAAGAAATATAAAAGAACAAATAATTTGTAAAAAAAATATTTTTTGAGACCCAAATGTGAGACCTTGGCCAAATACAACCGCTGGCAAAAAGCATTTGAACATGCTATAAGAAAATAAAATTGTTTATTTTGAGCTATTTTTACAAGAAAATAAAAATGTAATGATTAAAAATATATATATATACGTTTTATTCATTTGGTTAAACACTATTAAGTGTTTATCACTTTCAGCCACCCTGGTGGAAATCAACTTGCAAACATTAAAGAAACAACGAGCACAAACAGTTCAACAGGAATGTGGCTTCAAAAACAAATGAAAAATCCTCTGCAATCATAGAAAGTGTATGGAAGACATTACACAACGATTGTACGCGGGACAATCTAATAAAATTTGTCTGGGTACCTGCACACGAAAACATGTATAAATGAGCGTGTCGGCAACTGGTAAGAAGCAAGCCGATAAATAACTCAACCGATAAATATAATAGCCGTCGAAAACCTCCGTGTTTTAACTAAAAATGAAAAGACTGAACATATGCAGGAAAGCTGGACAAATTATCACAATCACGACAACTTCCCATGGTTTCACAACTGAATTAAGCCAAAACAACCCGATAATATCGACCGACATACGATAACCCTAATAAACAGGGCACGGACAAATATCGTACTCGCGAACCAATTCCTATTCAAACGTACTCTAAGCAATACGTAAGGACTGCGTGACCAAAATTGATACCCTCCATAATCTAGACCAGTGATTCCCACAAGAGTCCAGCTCTCTGGTAAGCATCCAAGTAGCTAAAGCCCAACGTCAACACAACAACAACAATATTGGTGGGAAAGTTAAGCAACTCGTTGCTGGATTTTTTTAATAAAAGGTTCCTTTTCTAATCAACATTTTAAAGCATTTGCCTTTATTTTTGCACAGGTATAAGCATCTTTTAGTTCTTTTAAATTTTTATTTATTATTTTTTGTTTTTTAATTTTTAATAAAAAAACATTTTATCATAGCCTTATGTTAACTCAAGCCTTTAAATAAAATTAAAATTAAGTACGCAAAGTTGATTCATGTAGTGGTCACTAACATAATTTTAATAAAGTCAAAGCTCTGTAATAAAGGACTGAAGAGGGGCAAGAGGTCCGAAATGCATTTCCCTGTACAATAAAGTTGAAATAGTCAATTCCTGGTGTGTTCCATTGTCAACTTGTTCTCTTCGGCAAAATTTATTCTTATCACTAAAAGATGTGATTTTCATTTTACAAAGCTAAAACAAGACCCTATCTCACTAAGGGAAAAACAATCATTTAAAATGGGCAAAATAGCATAGAAATTGGTCCGTAGAAGACTGGAAAAAGGTTGTTTTTTTAAATGCGTGTCATAAACATATACTGGGTGTGGTGATGATGCAGGAAAATTCGATTGGTAATGTACAAATGAGAAATTTAAGACTGCCTGAATAGGAACACTAAGTTTTCAACAAATTTAATGATTTAGGATTGCATGCCAGCTATCAAACATGGAAATATATGTATATAAATCAGGCTGTAACAGCAGAAGTGTATGAGGAATTTTAGAATCGTTTCTGATTCCAACAATCGAAGATTACTACGGTGCTGCTTATGTTATTTTTCACGATGTTAATGCCACAAAGCATTGGGCCAAACGAATAAAAGAATTTTTGGTTTAAGGTCATTAAAACATTAATTTGGCCAGCAAATAACCCAGATTTAAATTCTATTGGAAATTTATGGGCAACGTTGAAAATTCTGGTTGATGTAGAGCACCAACTTATAAAGATAAACTGAAAGAAGCAATTAAAAATTATCTAGAATAAAATAAACATTCAATGAATTAATTTTGATAATGTCAAGACGCATAAAAGTTGTAATAATATCAACAGGGGAACAAACAAAATAGTAATTTCTATTATTTTGTATGTAATCTTTCTATTATTGTTGTTCAAAATTTTTTTTACAATACTGCTTTATGTAAAAATACTTTTTTGGAAAATAGTTTGGTTTATTCATTTGAAATTAGAGTGCTAAACACTTAATAACCCAGTGAATAAAACATATATTTTTGTTTTGAACATTACTTTTTATTTTCTTTAAAATGAGCTCAAACTAAACAATTTTATTTTTTTTAATATCATGTTTAAATACTTTTTGCCAAAGGTTGTAGCTCCAATGACCCACTATGATAAAGCCTTGTTTCCAATATTTATTGATATATGAAATATTCAACAGTTGATAGATAATTTCCCATTTTAAAAATTAAGTTTCATATATAGATAAAAACAATAATAATAATTACTATTATTATTATGATTTTGCAGTTATGGATTACTAGGACCGAGTGGCTGTGGCAAGACAACATTACTAAGATGTATAGTTGGCAGGGTGAAACCAGATCAAGGTGTTGTCAAAGTATTTGGTGCCGTACCCGGTTCATCTGGTTCCTCTATACCTGGTCGAGGTGTTGGCTATATGCCTCAGGTAAATTATATATTAACATATTTCTTGGATTTTTAATGATACAAGCAACATATTAATTTCAATATATTATTAATATCTAATAATATATTTAAAAATTTTACTAACAGTTATTAACTGTTACAAGCATTAAGTGAAAGTTAAATAAAGCATTAAGTGCAGAAGAGGTATAAGAATATTGTGCTGCCAGTCGCCACTTAATTATTTTTTTAATTTTAAGAAATTTCATATTTTTTGGTTCTATTGTTAACAACTACATTTTTTGCATTGTAGAAAAATTTTAGTGAATTTGCCAAAGCGTGCAAAAGCAATAAAAAAAAAAGCTTTCACTAAGTAAGTCCAGAGCCCTTAAAAGTTGGAGGCACTGGATTAAGCCTTATGAGGCCTTATGTATCTGCCACTGCTGCGAACAGAGATAAGTGCACATTCACAGATGGGATGCAGATTAAGGAGACTAATGGTATTTGCTGAAGTAAATATTGCAATACTTCGTATATAAAGTTTATTTTATTTAGTTTTAAAATTATATCGAATGAAAAATTTCTGTTTTTAATGTTTGTTATTAACAAAAGAGAAAATTTTTTAGTAGAATATATTCAAATATCAAATGAATGATTTCTAATAATGCTTTCACCACATGTTTTTCTTTTTAGGAAAGACTATTTCACGAGCTATCCCATGACATAGAGGGTTAACTATTTTAAGATAAAAACTTTAATGTAGTTTTTACTAACAAAGTTTAAATTTTGTAAATATTATTTAAAGTAAATTGATTCCATATTCAATATAAATAAACAATATTCTAATACATTGGTATAAATCTTCAGTTATTGCCGTTTTTGATCGTCCTGATCCGTTCGCTTCTTTTATCACTTCTCTAAATTGACAATTGATCATATTTTCTCCATTTGAAAAATTAGAAAAAAAAGCCCATTTTGACGGATTCCTGCTACTACAGGTGTTAAATGAATTTGTATCATCCTATATACGATGTATACAGTTCTGTCATATACGTGTGTCTAGGAAAATGCAATTCTAAATATGGATACGAGGAAAGTTCTAACTGATGCGCGACTATAATTATTTATTATAACTACTCATGATAACCAAATCGTTATTATTATTATTAATAATCCAAACATTCAGGAAATAATAACAAATTGCTTTTGTTTATTGAACCTATTTTATATTCATTGCCGAAAACACATATTCCTTCAGAATTCATTATAATATAAAGAATTTAGATATAAAATAAAGATGAAATGAGATACCTTTTTTTCGTTAGGAAATAGCCCTATATAAAGAATTTACAATTGTGGATATTCTTACTTATTATGGTAACTTATATGGACTGGAGATGAACTTCATTCTCGATCGAATCGATTTTTTAGTCAAATTTCTGGATCTTCCTGATAAAACTCGTCTTATAAAAAATCTCAGGTATAAAATAAATAAATATATAGTTTCTAAATGAAAATAATAAGGTTTATATAATTATATATATATATATATATTATTTTTAGTGGTGGTCAACAACGTCGAGTTTCTATCGCGGTAGCTTTGATCCATCTCCCTCCTCTTTTGATATTAGACGAACCTACTGTTGGAGTCGACCCCCTTCTGAGACAAAAGTAACTATTTTTTATTAATATTTTACAATGATAATTTTTCCTATAGAAGAGAAATAACTGAATTTATTATATTTTTATTTAATAAGAATTTTTGGTATACTAATAAAATAATTAATTTTAGTCACAAACTAGAAGAAAGCGTTCGAGAAAAATTGCATATAACTGATATTTAATTAAATCTAATTTAATTTCGATATATTACTAAATTAATTATTATTGCAATTGAAAAAATTGTTTAAAAGAATGTTTATTTTTCCAATTTATATTTAACAGTCTTTCATTGTTTTTATTCTTATAAATGAAATAATAATAATTTTCAACTTTTGATCGATTGATTTTTGATCGATTGATGATTGACTTTTGAAACGTAATCGATTGATCGATTACGTTTCAAAAGAAGAATGTTTCGAAACTAAAAGAAGAAGAGAATCCAAATTCATAAATATTTGGTGGTTCAAAAGTCAATTAACCGAGAAAACATTTTAATTAAGATTATTTTAAGAATGATTAAAATCGGTTTAGAGCAGATTCCGTAAACGACCGAATGCAGATGTTCCAAACTAGTTTTAATAGTATTTTAAGCAAGATCAGATAACCGAGTTGTCGGTCCGCTGCTCATAAGGACCCGGAATCGAATCCGAGCAATCAACCCCAGGAATTTTTCTAGGATTGTCTGTCCAGGATATATTTTGTCCCGTCCCTCACTAACTCGGCGCTACTAAATGGGCTTGGCAGAGCCAATAATGTGCATGGAAAAAGGCCCTCTCATTAGTGACTGCAGGGAGGCGGGTCAAAAATGAAAATAAAATGTTAGAATATACTACGTATCTCGGTTAACTGGCTTCTGGGCCACTGTATATCCGAAAATATGCTGTTACAGTGTTGGAAATAAAGTATAAAATAATTTTTTTTAAATTTGTAATAATGCATTATTAGAATTTGTAAGTCTAAATTTGAGTCATTATTGTAATAATGAAATGTATTCTACGACAGTGATTATAGGTAGTACTTGATATGTGAGATCCTCGCGATGATAATCGCAGCCCCCATATCAAACGTATACGTAAAAAGTCGAACCTCTTTAAGATAAAGAGAGACGGCCGATCGGGATTACGCAAAATGGGAGTGTGTTTTAGGCTACGTCCTACGTGCCACGTAGGATAATTTAGTCAAAAGAAGTCAAAAGTCAAAGAGGAAAATTTCGCCCCCTCCTTATTTGGGTATCTCAATTTAAAAGACTAAAATTCAGTTTCGTCACAGAATAAGTAATGAAAAATTCCGTGCTAGTGTTGCCACCTTATTAAAATCGCTGACCCGGACGGCAGGTGAGGTTTGTTCGAAAAGAAGTTGCTGACGCATGCGTATGTCATTTTGCAATGCGAAGAATAATGTGCTGTGCATGCTGGTTCTAAATCAGTTACAGTTAGCGACTCGGGAGACTTGGATAAGAGTAACGCAAGTGACCTAGCTCTATTGGATATTGGAAGTGTATATATATACGAATAAATCGTACAAGCAAAAACAAAAAAATAAAAAAAAAGATCAACAGGTTGCGCACGATATCCCCAGACGGCGAGTCGATTCCCGGACTATCCGGATGGATGGTAACACTATTCCTTGCTCATTTCAATCGGTCCGAGTCGTAGGTGGACGAAAATATGAAATAAAATGGTTCAAATTCTTACAAGATATTATTATTATTTATTGTGAAATTTTGCCGCCCCCTAAAAAGTGCCGCCCGGGGCGGCCGTCCCTGCCGCCCCCACTACGCTACGCTACTGATATCCGTCCCGTTATTGTGTAAATGTGAAACAAAATATTTTGTCTTTCTGTTTTTCCTTTTTATTCAAAACTTAAAGGCAAATTCAGCTGAGGGGTTGGGACCGTTCCACAGCCCCACTGATTACTATATAGAAAAGTAGATTAGCATTATTATTAAGTGTAAATTTTATAAATGTATTCGTAATAATTGGCAATTTTTATAGTATATGGAATCATCTCGTAGCGCTTTCGACTAATCAGAAAATGACAATCATCATTACAACACACTACATTGAAGAAGCCAGGCAAGCTAATATGGTAATATTCTATTTTAATTTAAAAAAAATACGTTAAACGCAATTTTTTATATACTGTAAAGCAGTGTTTCTCAACCTCTAACGAACCGTTTCCCCCTTCAACGTAGTATCGCCCCCTTCAATAAAACCGTTACGTAGTATCGCCCCCTTCACTACAAAATTCCGATGCCGAGGACAAGGCTAACGCCAAATTCGTACTGCATCGAATAGTCTAGTGACTAGTATAATGTTATTTGTTTAATTATTGTACGATATAACGAATAAATTATCTAATTATTCTTAATATAATGTTTTACTATATCGCCCAGAAAATTGTTTTTCGCCCCCCAAAATATAAATTGTTACTAATCGCCCCGTCAACATGGAAAAACGCCCACATGGGGGCGATATCGCCCCCGTTGAGAAACACTGCTGTAAAGATACTGGTAATGAATGATAACTTAAATACAGACTATATCATTATTGGGCTGCAATTTGAAAAAATTGTAGGCATATAAATTTTCTGTAGTCCATCCTTTTATCTTTCCTTAGAGCCGCCAAAAACTAGCGTTTTTCGAGAACAAAACGCTAGTTTGCGGCGGCTCTTAATCTCGAGAATAGAGTTTGAAAGAAGAGACCAGATATGACAACATAGGGCAGGAGGCCCCGATTAACTATATATGAACTTCCGATGCAAACCGGAAGTCATTTTATTTAAATTCAAAAATTTTCCCCTGTAAAGTGTTAGATAGATGACTGGCACGGCTCTATTGTTAAGGACAAGTATGATGTACTGTACATTGGCAAACAACTACTAATTTGAGGGGGAGAGAATATATTTTAAAAATATGATTAAAAATTGCAGCCCGGCATTGTGACGATCTCAATAAATAATTGCTCGTTATTATTACTTTTACTCTCCATGTGGGCACTAACAGGGCTTTATTTTCAAACCTGTTGTGGCATAGAAAAAAGTATCTTCTTACAAGTTAGTGCCCACAGTGTAGAAAGAATGAAAAATGAAAGAGTGTAAAAAACGTAACTAAGTTTTGTATTATAATTTTATTTTTGAGTGACCAACCTAATAAACTTTTACAAATAAGTAAAACTATGGTGGCAGATCATCCAATGCTTTTGATTTATGAAAGTAGATCACATCCTTCTAGAAATTAGCCAGGCCTGTTTTAGACTAAACTATCAATCAGTATGGAGGAAATATATTTTTATTTGACTCGAAACTAACTTTACGGGATAAACTAGTGTAGTTTTTTTGTTTTTTTTTCGTTTGTTTTTTCTGTGGACGAGACAGTAAAGGCGTCAATTCATCGCTTTGGGAGACCTAGGTTCAAGTCTGGGTCGATAACCTTAATAATCTTTAATGAGCGGCCCATTCTTGACCACCTGGTGCCCCTATTATAGACCTAGCCGAATAGAAAACCTTAGCTTTCGACTAATCAGAAAAGGGCAATCATCATTACAACACACTACATCAAAGAAACCAGGCAAGCTAATATGGTAATATTCTACTTTAATGTTTAAAAATACATTAAACACACCAAGTTTTTATATAAAGATTCTTCCAAATTCACTTCAAAGCAAATTCAACTGAAGGGTTTGCTTGGTTGGTTTGATAAGTTATGGCAACGCAACACTTGGGCGATGTGCCCAGAGAGAATGCCTTCCGGGAAGTCTTGTTTTAAATGGTAACTGGCCCCTATTCAGGCGTTACAGACATGGAGAAAATCCGAAAAATTCCACGTAGCCAGCCTGTCGTGGCGAGGCGCGAACCCATGACCGAACTCCCAGTGTTCAGGAACGGAACGCTTGGCAATTAGTGGAATGGCCAAGCGTCTCAAGCCACTAGAAGCTTGAGACGCTTCTAGTGGCTTGAGACACAAGCCACTAGAAGCGTCTCAAGACACAACCTCTTCTCATCCTGAGAAGAGGTTGCCAGTAGTGGCAACCTCTTCTCAGGATAGTCAGTCAGTCAAGTATTATTTATTAAAGTAACACCAAACTTAACGCGACACCAAAGTACATACTTGGTGTCGCGTTAAGCATGACCAAGGTAGAATACAAGGAGATACCAAAGATATGTGACAAAGTAGTGAATATACAATAGAGTGATATAAAATATAATAAAATACACAAAACAAACCTAAGCCCTACAAAATGCAGAAAAAACAAAACAATACAAATGCAATACATAACAGAACAAAACAATACAGATACAATACATGACAAAACAATAAAAGTTACAAAGACAAAACATAGAAAAAACATATGCCAGTACAGGTAACCCCCGTATAACACGGTAGTTACGTTCCAAAAAATTGCCGTGTTTTGCGAATCCGTGTTATGCGAATCAAAGGACTAGTACGAAAAGGAGGGTTAGGTTCTGAAAATTAAAAAACATGCTACTATATTTTCACAATTAAGTTAAATATCTTTATTAAAATTTTCTGAAGTGATACATATTAATATAAATTAAACAATGTTTTCTTTGTCATCACTAAAAGCACTATTAACCGAGAGCGTTTTATTTTTGGCAAGTTATCGTTATCCTCTGAGCATTTTTCTGCATTATTTTCAGATTCATGCTTTACCTTTCGCAAAAAGTGTATGTAATTTTAGATTGCTTGCTTCTAGTTAAAAGATCTTTATAAATTTCCTTATATGGTGCTAAGCACTTATGGAATAAGGGAAAAACATCTGGCAACACCAGAAGCAGAAGCGTCGAGATATGGCAAAATTGCAACATTTTTCGCGAAGAACCATATGTATGGAGACGAGAAAAGAAAATTTACACACTGAAGTACTAATAGTTCACGAAAATAATAATTTTCGTGAACTATTAGTACTTAAGTATGTAAAAATTTATTACATTTCATGTTGTACGAGGGTTTTACCCATTTCTCGAACCGTGTTAGAGTGAATCCGTGTTATAAAAGTACCGTGTTATACGGGGGATGGTACCAATTCTCGAACCGTGCTATAGAAGTGCCGTGTTATACGGGGGTTACCTGTAATATAAAACCGGAGTTAAAGCATATACAGTAGACAGCTATATGGCTGGGAGTTACATGTTACAAGATTAAGCCGTTACAGGTGACAGTTGGCAGTATTTCTTTGCCAGTCTGGAGAAGGCGCGATAGATTTCCTTGTTAACAAGTGAGTAAGAGTGGCATGACCAAGGGATGCCAAGGTTCTGTAATAGAATTCTAATCTCCAGTTGCTCTGCTTCAAGAATGGGACAGTCAAAAATGTAATGAGTTCCGCTGTCCTCAACTTGACAGAAAGGACAAAGATGTGAAGGATGGTTGGCGAAACAAGAGAGATATGCACTGAACTTTCCATGTCCAGTAAGAAACTGAGCTCGGCACAAACCACTCAAGCTTCATAAAGTCACTAATGTTTGGAATATAGTTATAGGTAATGCAAGTGTTGTTACTGTTTCACATGTTTTGCCAGGTAGAGAGGGTGTCCTTCCAGTGGAGCTGGCGTAAGGTGTGCTTCCTTATCTTGTCGTAGATGACAGGGATGGTATTGTCCGTAGTGGCTGCTTTGGCAAGCTAGTCAGCACACTCATTACCAGGAGTGCTCTGATGGGCACGTGTCCAGGTAATGGAGATGGTATTACTAATACTGTTGATGATGTTCCTGATCTCCGTGGCGAATGGGTGTAGATTATTGCCCTTGATTAAGGAGTACGCAGATAAACAGTCAGTGATGATTTGGATGTAACTGGAGAAGTAGTTGTAGACCAGAGGAGGATCATTTTTATGGCAAGGAGAGCTCAGCCTGAAAAACAGTGCATAAGTGACTGAGACGATATTACTAGAAGTGTACTTCAACCTGATTGATGTAGACAACAAAACTGCAGGCGACAGAGTCGTGGATTTTGGACCCGTCAGTGAAGATTTCCACAGTGGAGATTTGTGAAGTAGTTATCGAGGTTCTTGAAATCATTTTCAAAGAGAAGGGTATTGGGGAATGGATATGGAGACTCATAATTGTAGCAGTTGATAAGGCGGCACTGGAATTAATTGCTTCTCCCCGTTTGATGCTTTGTATCTTCCCATTGAGCTGGCTAATCAGGTCGATGGGGGCTTCCTGGAGTTGATTTCAATATTGCGATTTGAAGCAGTACGATAGCATTTAGTAATGAGCATAAGTGCCCGACGTTGAGATGAGATAAGCCTTCGTTTGATGTGGACTTTGTTGGACGCCCAGCCCCCAGCCACCGCAGGCATAAGTGACCAAGGGAATATAAATCTGGTCGTAGATTGTGTTCATGGCATCCGATGAGAGACCCCAGGTTCTTCTAGCTACCTGAGCAACCCATACGGTTGGTGACAGCTTCAACGTGACCGTTCCAGAAGAGGCGATTGTCCAATATTACACCAAGGTATTTGAGGTGTTTTTCTATTTTGATGTTTTTACCATCCATCTTGATCTGGGGACCCTTAAATAAACATTAGGTTGGCCAGATTTATTTAGTACAATGCCTTTGGTTTTGAGAGGATTAAAGTTCAGTTTGTGTTTAACTCCCCAGTTGTGGATTTCCCTTAGCATGTAGCTGCCTCTGTGCCGAAGTCAGCCCTAGAGAGAATCCCTATCAGGACCAAGACATCGTCCGCATATGCTATTAGTTTATCTTGACCAAAGTTCTATTGGAGGAAAGCGTTGAATGTGACGTTCCAGAGGAGAGGTCCGCAGACAGAGCCTTGTGGAATCCTCTGGTGATCCTTTTTTTAACGTGATGTTGGCCCTTTTGTAGAATGGCATACCTGTTATTCAGATAGTCTTTCATGATGTGGTACAGATTGGTGGGGCGGTAGAAGTTTCTCAGGATAAGGGATCCTGAAAAGAGAGTAAAAAATTAAAAACTCTTTCTGTAAAACTAACAGAAGGTTTTTCCATAGCCATCACGAATTCACACTGAGAAATACCTATCAAGTCACCAAACAAAAATTCTGAGCAGAGCCTAACTTGAATCCGGGTATCTTAGAATAGCTGGTT